CCCCCCCCACCAATTGCGGAAATGACAGAATTAAATATAACAAAGATGTGACTGCTGATTTTGATATAACCAAAAAAAATACGTTTAATTGCATATAATTTTATTGATCGAACGCGTTAGATCAATTATTCATGGAGATTATTATTATTATTATTAATATTTGTAATATTCATTGTTTTAATTAGGAAAAAATAGGTTCGTTATCGAGATAATCTACAAAGTATACGACGTTTCGTTTGCTATCGTATTCGTTCGTATCCACGTGGTTAGAAACACATCGAAAAACGCGACTGTTCTTTTCGGTTAATCAAAACAAAAAAATTTCGAAAAATTTATAATAATATATATATATATATCAATTGATTTACCTGTAACGGGAAAGTTGCTTTCTGGCAACATGAACGTATCTTCCTAATTACGTACACTTGTATCAATTGAAATGATCGTTTGGTCCTTAAAAATAGGACCAAATCAAATTGAAATAGTAAAATATGCAACAACGAAAGTAACAATATCCCCTTCCTCCTCCACCACCTCCTCTTCTTCTTCTTTTTTTATGTCTTCATTCTCTCGCAATAAATAAGATTAAATAATAATTAAAACACCGTTAACACAAATGATAATATCACTTTGATTTGATTCAAGACCACTTGTTGGTTTAACTTATCCATAAAATAAAATAAGGTAAGAACCGGGAACGATATTCGCGTGGTGTTCATCGATCTACAAAGAAAGAGGAAGACTGAGTGAGAGACAGACCCTCTGTAGGGATGACGATCCCCCACCTTTGAAATGAGTCGGGTGAAGATCAGGGATGAGGGAAGGAAGAAGAAAGGTGATATGAGAACGCCAAGCACGTGTCTTGCTTGCTTGCTTGCTTGCTTGAGTTGAGTTGAGTTGACTTTGTGGGGGAGATCAGAGTAGAAGGAGAAGATGAAGATGAAGAAGAAGAAGTCAAGATGATGATGATGATGACCAAAATGAATAAGATGGTCAAGATGTGTAAGATTAAGTAAAAGAAAACTAGAAAATAAGAGAGAAAGAGATAGATATATATATGTGTGTGTGTATAAGAAGGAACGTGTGTATAAGAAGGAACTAGTGTATAAGAAGGAACGTGTGATGGAAGGAAGAAGCATGGACCGTTTTGAGATACTTTTGGCACTGTTACTAATACGACCGGCCAAGCAGCA